ACCAAATCTTTGCTTCATCCACATCTTTTTCTTAAGAGGAATATTGACAAAACATAAATTTTGTAAAATTATTGATATCTGAAAAACAAGGTTTGAAAAAAGAAAGACTATGATGATGGAGTAGAATTAAAAAAATTCTTGACATCTAGAGTAATGTTAGTCTCTCTTTTAAGTATTTATAAAGTCTTCAATAATTAAATCTGAATTAACATTTTCTGCAATTTTTTAGCACTCCGCTGGTATTTACTTTTAAAATATTTCTCAAAGATTTATTATTTATAATAATAGTTCATCAAATTCAATTTTTCAGTCTATTTTATGCAGTTAAATATATGTAACTAAACACTCATAGATGATAAATATGAGTTGGTTAAAATTTATATTTTACGTGAAATGAACCAACGATGAAAGAGATGGTGTGTTTTTAATGAACTTCAAGATAGCTAGCATATGATTTTTTAGATGAGATGTGATAAATGATGGGGAAGAATGTATGTGATGGATATAGGGATTGCTGTACTGCTTGTGAACAACATTACTGGTTAGGTGCTCTAGAGCAGTGAAGAAAAAATGGGAATGGATTAATTTGGTTTGTTTTAATCTGTTCTCCGTGGTTAGTAAGGAATGAGGTGGGGTACAAAAATAATTGCTGGACGTTGTTAAGGTGCTTGAGTTCCTTCATGTGAGTCCTTATCTATGGATTAATCAAAGAAAAGTTAGAGGTAAATGAATCTGCGTTGATGGAATAATGTAATTGGCCTATTCATTGTCTAAGCTCTGCGAGGGTAGGTTCAACTGCAGGGAATGGTTGCATGTAGAAGATGAAGTTCCTATCAGTTTTGTTTAGGGGAAGTGATGGGAGGTGTGGTATTTTGAGATATTTTGCGCATATACATATCTATATATATATATATGAAAAAAAAGTACATTTTAGGGTTAATTTTTTTAAAAAATTTAAAGTCTCAACTAAAATTGAAGTTAAATTGAGTTAAACTTATTTAATTTTTTTATTTATAAAATTTAAATTTAAAACCTTAATTTGAAAAATTGAATTCTTTTCATTTAAATAAAAAAATTCGTTGGTACCTTATACCCCTTATAAATAATAAAAATTAATGTTTAGACTTAGAAAAAAAATGAGAGATGAATTGTACCAAAAAAAAAAAAAATTGAGAGATGAAGCTAAAATACCCCTAACAATAAGTCAAAACATTGTACACAAAATAAAGTATAACAGAGAAGATGCATCCCAGCGCAGAAATAATTGATGAAACACTTAATGTACATAACAAAAAAAATT